TTTGGTTCGAGTTAGCGCGAGGTTCGAGTTAGCGAGGGTTCGAGTTATCGAGAGTCGACTGTACTGTGAAATATTACTTACAACAGCACAAAAAAACTAAATTAATTGCCACTGTTGTAGTTCATTAATTTGAAAAACTATTTTTTGTCCTGGAAACAACAAATTTTCTTCTACTTCAGTGACCTTTCCCTAAATTGTGGCAGATCCAAGAAGTGCAGACTTTGCATAGTTCTGACCCTTTGTTAACACCCTATTTCCGTTGTAGTAGTAGTAGAATAGTACTACTACTACTACTACTACTACCACTACCACTACCACTACCACTACCACTACCCTACTACTGCCACTGCCACTACCACGAGACTACCACTACCATTACAACTACTAAACTACTACTATATTATTATTGTTATTATTATTTTATTATTATTTTTATGCCAGTGATAAAAATGTGTTTTGACCTTTATTAACACCGAACCCCAAATATGTCAGCTAAGAATTAGCATTAAAAAGAGAAACCTTGTTGAAGCCACAAATAAATAATTGACCACAATAGTAATAAAGCCCTTAAATGTAATAAAAATTGACCACAAATGTAATAATACCCTCAAAAGTAACAAAAATATACCACAAATGTAATATAATGAAACCGTCAAATACTATCCAAGCCGTGTATACTCGAAAGAGCGCCTCCCTCAATTCAAATTAAAGAAGAAGGAGAATTCAAACACCAGAAAGCTCAAAAATAAGCACCGTGGCGCTCTTTCGAAAATAGAAAACATTGCTTTGCAAATAATCGAAAGAACTCCCCCTCAAATAACCTTGAGTACTATAGGGCGCAACGAATTAAACCCTTTTTTGTGGATTTAATTAACTTTATGAGTGGCATCCCTTAACGCTCGATGACGTCATAGCCTTTTGTCTTTATCTCATGAATAAAATGCGGGGGAATCTCATTAACTTGCGGGGAATACATTAACGCTGTCGACGTCATAACCTTTTGTTTTTATCTCATGAATAAAATGCGAAGGAATCTCATTAACTTGAGGGGGAATATATTGACGCTGTTGACGTCATAGCCTTTTGTCGTTATCTCATGAATAAATTGCGAAGAAATCTCATTATCCTCTCTTCTTTGTATTTCTAATACAATAAAAACAATGGACCCACCATCCTTGACCGGTTTTAACTTGTTTGTCATGTTCTTGTTTATTCAAGCGGTTTTACACTTCACTTATTTAAATACCATACTCTTCAGAAGAAAAGAAAGTTCAAAATAAAACAAGGTTTTAACTTATATCAATTTGCTCCAGGCTTACATCAGCAATGATAATCAACCTCTTAAAAGGTTTGATAAACAAAAAATAATAAGCACTGCTGTATACTGGGAAATGCAGTACTCTCGCTTGAATGGGTTGAATGAAGGAGAAAAATATGTCTATTGGAAAGAATGCCGAGGCGTTTATTTATTCAGTCTTCTTCTTCTCATGAGCAACTCTTACTCGATGCACCCTTTCGATTAAATGCAGTAAAACATTGTATTTTTCGAAAGAGCGCAACGGCGTTTATTGTTTTTCTATTTAAAAAATGCCAAGGCTATTTGGGGTGGCGTTCTTTCGATTAAATGCGATAGAATATTGTGTTTTTTGAAAGAGCGCCGCCGCACTTATTTTTGTCCGACTTATATTAATGAGGGCGGCGTTCTCTCGAGTATATACGGTTTGGATAGCATTGGCCGTTTTATTACATTTGGTCAATTGTTATTACATTTGTGGTCAATCATTATATTTGTGCCTTCAACAAAGCTAGAGGAAAAGGTTTATCGTAACTGTTTAGACCTCAGATGGTTTACTACCACTGGCGGTTACGTGCACAATATGAGTTGAAATGACTCAGGATGAATTAGTAATTATTGATGTTGATTTCACCTGCAAATACAGCCACCTAGCAGATTAATAGAAAAGCGTAAAGGGTTTCTCAAGCATTTAAGATGGCAGGTTCGTAGATAATGAATGTTTCAAGTTTAGAAACATTTAGATAATGATACTCTTCTCGCGTGAAAACATCTTGGCGAAACTCGGAGTCAAAGCCTGTAGAAAGGACATTGACAATTACTAGGAATAAGCAAAAAGGAGCAAAATCATTCAATGTATTCAGTTTCTTGCTTGACTAACAAGGGTCTGTTCGTTACATTTTGTTCATTGTCAAGTTCAACGTAAGCATAGACTAACGCAATAGTCCAGTTTCGAATTTAAAATTACCGCAACGACACATTCATACAGGGTTAGCCTCGACGTAAAGTAAAATATTCAGAAATTCTGGCAAGTAAGTGTTTGAAATTTGAATATTAACAATAGACAGAGTAATGAAGAGGTATTTTTTCTCGTTGAAATTTGTGAATATATTACTTCAGCTTAAGGCTAAGGCTGTAAAAAATGCGTCTTCACTTCTTTAATTCAACGGTCATAGCGAACTCGAAAATGGACTATTATCCTAAACAAGGATTCTGACATCAATGTAGAGATTTGAAAGAGCGATGTGGATATCTAGAATAGCCTACACATTACATTATTGTTGGACAGAAGATTCCGCTTTTTTCAAACTCTCTTGATATCTTTGGTTAAAGCATATTAGTTTTGTTGAGCTTGCAATATTTAAGGCAGTATACGCCTGTCTCTTTAAAACGCCTCCTATCCGGATTAAACGCCCCCTCTTAAGCCTGTAAAAATATCTTAGATCTAAAAAAGGTAATATCAGTGTTTTGTGAACACTCAAGACAATACAAGACAAGACTTTTAACACATCTGACACCTGACATTTTCAATTACAGTTAGAGAACTTGAATGAAAACATATAATGCAGTAATACAATGTTTAAAAAAAACATTTTAGGTGGCAAAAAGGTACGGGGATGGAAACCAGAGTCACAACCGCCTTCTTAATAGTCAAGTGATATACTTCCAAAGTAAAATCGCTCTGGAATTTTGTCAACTAAAATATTATTTTGCGAATCAAATTCGATCTTTATATATCAACGGGAGACGCTTTTTTCAGTCCTAAGATGCTAAGATGTTTGTTCTCAGAAGCCTTAGCGTCCTTTTAGAATCAGCCGACTGCTCGTTTGCAGTACTAATGCATAGAATACAAGGCACTGATAAATACCGCTTGCTGTGTCACAAGCTAAGGTTGCTGTACTAAGGATAAAAAGTGGTTGAAAAATAAACAGCGACTTGTACAGTAGTGAGGGAAGATAATCACGCAAAACTAACCTAGTGAATAACTCTCTCAGTTACTCAGTCATTATTACTGACAGGAAAACATTAAAAAGGAGAATCCCGCGCCAAATAATGAATAACAAAAAGCTGCAGTTTTAATTACGTCTCCGGTGGAGGAGCTTTGGCTGGTTTTCCGAACAGCGACTGTGATCGAGGTTCGGTTTGAACCCAGGAGTCATTTCAAAATCGATTTCAAAAGTTTTTCAAAAGTAGGTTGAGAATGATCGTCCGGGTGGTCGTAGTAGCGTTGTTGACAATGACTGACGTTTCGGCAACCTGTGCCGTGGTAGACATCGTCAGGTTCATCTTCAGAATTTACCTGAAATAGCACTGTCCCTGTTATTTTTTAACATCCCAGCACGCATGTCTGTGTTCTCACCGTTTCTTTGGAACCAAAAAAGTCATCTCAGTGATATTCATGCCTGTAACCACTGCTCGGCCGGTTCACGGGCTCAGACTTGCTGAGCGGGAGGCCCAGTTTAAACCCAGGACAACACACTTGAACCAGCCTAGTCTCTAGGCGTTTTCGGCTCCGTCATTCCTGGACCCTACCATACACTGTGATGTCACCGAGACCTCACGCGGACAACGGATCAAGAGAAAACGCCTAGGGACTAGGCTGACACTAGCCCAGGCTCTTACAAAAAAAACTGGTAAGATAATGCTGGCTCAGTGTAATGATCTTGGCTCAGTTCAAATATTAATCGCCCTTTTTTCGGTGATGTCCATGAGCTGGTGCTATTCATTCTTCTCTCTCCAAAAAAAAAAAAAACAACAACCACCACCACCCACATTGCAGTTCAAAAAAAAAATGGCGGAAATGTTTCACTAATATGAAATCTACCTTTCCTCTCTTATCACAGCTTATCATCCCACACATCAAACGTGTTCTTCGCAGATTGTCTACGCATCGTCCGTGCAGCAACCGTATCAGCCGTAACGTTCCCCGGCAAATTTTACATCAGTGCGTGGTGAAAGCCCGATTCAGCCTACTCTGGAACCAATTGATCACAGTTTGAGAAAGATCATCCCAATCTGAAAACTTTTCCAGCCCACTTGGTGACATACAATCTCAAAATGACATATTGCGCGTATAAACTATGAGGGGCAATGAAGAAAATTAGTTAAAGATTTTCATCTTGGTTTTCCCGTATATCTTTTATTTCTTATGCATAATGCTTTACATTAATTCCATCTAGAAATAACTTATCGTTTATCTACAAAAAAATGGACAGGATCGAGAGGTAATTTAAGGGTTGATCGTTTATTACCTGTGAGGTGGGGGGAGCCGCCATTTTGAGAAGTAGGAGGAGGCTAAGGAGATTTTCAAACTGAACCCTTTCTGCATCACAGCTTTCTAGAAATGACCCCTCATAAATTTTGCATATCGTGAAAGTGATCATCCCTCCCTTCACCAGCAGAACCTGATTGCTGTGGAAATTATCAATCACTTATTTTTGCTGCAAATCGTGTTGACGCTCACCTGAACATAATTTATCTTCATGATCAGTCGAACAGTATTCACGGCTTGTACATTCAATTTTAATTCCCGCCCCTTACTGCCTTTTTACTACTTTCATGAAATTTATTAAAATGACCCTCAGGTATTAAAAGCTTTCTCATCTGAAAATGACCCCCACTTCTCCGTCACAGGTAATAAACGACCATCCCCTTAAGATAGCTTTCGTTTGGCGCCAAAAGTTAATTAACCAAGAGCAGTTTTCTTTTACTGCACCAAAATATATCCCATTGTCTTAATATGTTTTCTACCTTTATCTGACTCTTTGCTAGCCTCGTTTCCACATGAGTTGCTCTCATCAGGCTTTCCACCTGTGCCAAATCCAATTCTAGAGTTGCAAGAGACGCAATGGTCTTGGTCGTTACTAATGATCCCGATTCTTGCTTTGGATTTACCAGGATTATCACTAACAACATTGAACCCTTCCTTGTTACAGCTGAGCTGCAAAGAGGCATCAGAACCAATCAGCAACTTCCACGTGTCACGACCCAATGAGGTGGCGCGGTATTGGCCATCAGTGATCAGAGAGTAGAAGGAGTTCGCCTGCTTGTTGATAACAATAAACTTGGGCTGGTTGTCATTGATCTTCATACCGAGGCAGATCTTGGAGAAGGATATGTTCCAGTAGGAGGGAAGTTTGGTCTCCTGCAAGTCAAACCCAGTTTTCCCTCCGTCAAGGTTAAAGGTTTCTTTGTTGCTCCAGAGAGTGGAACTGTAGTTAAAAGTTTGCTGTGAGAGAAACAAGTACTTGGCCGTCAAATTAATTGAACGTTAAATTACTGATGTGTACAACATTGAATTCGCGACGCCCCCTCCTTATATTCCTACCAATCCAGAATTAAGATCTTGTTACTGAATCACCCGCATAACTTAACTCAGTCTCTGTCTAGTTCCTAGTTAGTAATTTTCAATTAGTAATTTCAGATTTGTTTTATTTATTGTACAAGTTTACTATTATTGTTATTATTTTCAGGTCAGCAATAAAACACTCTTAAAGTGTGGTTGTTTACAGTTTTTATTGAAACGCATCAATACAAAGGTCCAGGAAAAAAATAATTCTATAACATTCATACTTGGACTAGTCTTCATCTTGTGTAATTGAAAATTACTAATCTGAAATTACTTATTCACGGTCAAACCCTTTTTAATTAGGCACTGTTATTTGTGATTACACTTAATAAAGATGATGATTCCAATGTTGAGAGGTGTTGCGTGACTAGCGATGCGCGACACCCACGCGTGTGTCTGAGAAAAAATAAAGACACATGACTAGAAATGGCCCGTTTGTCTCCTTTTGTCCCTTTTGGCCTGGTTTTGGCCTTTCAGGCCTGGTTATGNTTCCCTCCGTCAAGGTTAAAGGTTTCTTTGTTGCTCCAGAGAGTGGAACTGTAGTTAAAAGTTTGCTGTGAGAGAAACAAGTACTTGGCCGTCAAATTAATTGAACGTTAAATTACTGATGTGTACAACATTGAATTCGCGACGCCCCCTCCTTATATTCCTACCAATCCAGAATTAAGATCTTGTTACTGAATCACCCGCATAACTTAACTCAGTCTCTGTCTAGTTCCTAGTTAGTAATTTTCAATTAGTAATTTCAGATTTGTTTTATTTATTGTACAAGTTTACTATTATTGTTATTATTTTCAGGTCAGCAATAAAACACTCTTAAAGTGTGGTTGTTTACAGTTTTTATTGAAACGCATCAATACAAAGGTCCAGGAAAAAAATAATTCTATAACATTCATACTTGGACTAGTCTTCATCTTGTGTAATTGAAAATTACTAATCTGAAATTACTTATTCACGGTCAAACCCTTTTTAATTAGGCACTGTTATTTGTGATTACACTTAATAAAGATGATGATTCCAATGTTGAGAGGTGTTGCGTGACTAGCGATGCGCGACACCCACGCGTGTGTCTGAGAAAAAATAAAGACACATGACTAGAAATGGCCCGTTTGTCTCCTTTTGTCCCTTTTGGCCTGGTTTTGGCCTTTCAGGCCTGGTTATGGCCTTTCTGGCTTGTGTTTGGCCTTTCTGACATTCTATATAACATGACTATTTGCGATGAAGATGTCATTTGTATTCAGTCATCGAGCTGTCAGGCTACATGGTTTACAAGAGAGTTTGCAGAAACTGTCCGATTTCATTGTGCGGGGCGAAGTACCTTGTCAGATTAGCTAACCATCTCGCGGATGTTCATCAGTTAGACCACATGCAGCTAAGACAGTATTTACAAGAGGCGAAACTGCAACCTAAAGTGAAAGTCGTCGTTTACGAAAGTGGAGCGGATAATTCCGGAAAAAATCACTCAACTAGTACTCGCAATCCAGTGCAGACACAAGAAACAGTGTACGAACTGTCTAGATCACGAATAAATGAAGCCTCCTTTAAAGCAAAAGCTAAAAGAACAACTACAAAGGACAAGACAAACCGAAAGAAACAAAAAAAGTCGAACTCTTGGCTTAGAGGCCATAAGGAAATTGTGTAGACACTGAAGGATTATCTATTATTCCTTTATTATTCCTTATTCATTATTCCTCGGTTACGTCTGTAACCCCACCCACAGTCTCCATAGCCTCCTCCCCAAAGGAAGAGTTGTAAATATGCTCTGAGACGCAAAAGTGATTTCACTCTCCCCCTATGTAAAACCGAGCGTTTGAAGAAAAGTTTTATTTTTAGCCATGTCTATAAGATGTAGATAATTTTTCTTATTTAATTTTCTCTTTGTTATCATCAGTATTTGTAAATATCCCGTGATTCAGCCTATGGCTGCAATGGTGTTTATAATAAAGTATCTATCTATCTATCTATCTATCTATCTATCTATCTATCTATCTATCTATCTATCTATCGCAGTCTATCTATCTATCTATCAAATACAACGGAGAAAACTGATTTGTAATAGTCAGTCAAAGGATTAATTTTTCATTCCTTTTCCTTTCAAATCGCTGTGTATTTGACTCCTTTTGTTATTGGTTTTTAAAACGAAATCTCGTGTCTGATTTTATTGCTAACATTTATGAGTCGCGTGTTTCAATTGATCCTTGTTAAGTTATTTTATGTTTTTATTGTTTTTATAATAATGAGTCAAGGTTCTCTCTTGGGTTTTTTATTGCAGAATAATTTGTATGCAACGGTGGGCTTGTGAACTCGCATAATTAACTGACTAACGGTGCGTGAAACGCTGAGACTTAAATAGTTTTTTATTTCCTCGAGACAGATGGGAGAAACGGTTCTGTAATAGTCAGACAAACTTGAAATACAGCGTTTTCAGCTCCAATTTGTGTATATGTGCGTGTGTTTTGTATATATATCCGAGTTTTAGCGCTAAATAAGATATAGGAAGCCGTTTCTCGCGTTGCTAGGTGATCGCTCCTATTTTCCTTTTAATAGACGGTCCGAAAACCGGGCTCAAGTTACTTACCGGGCAAGTCTAGGCAAGTCTATTATTTCTATTGAATAAGGGAGACACTCATTATTAAACCTATACCGAATTAGTATGCAGGAAGACCCTCATTAGTATGGAGGAAGGCACTTTTTCCCTTGGTTATAACAATGGGTGACGTCATAGACTCGACCCTTACACATATTAATTAAGGGAAGGCACACAAAAGGCATAGTAAACTACTTCGCATATTGAGCATTTTTTTGCGTGGTAACGCTACTGGCAAGCTCAGCGCAACCAATGGCGGTGTTCGCGTTCGATTTCGTCGGAAACACCCATACAAAGGCACTGATGTCCCTACTATCTAAGAGCCTGACACAGGTTACCGATAGAATAAAAAGTAAACAAGTACTGCACTCCGTAATCATTAGTTGGTCTGGGGCGATTGAAAAATGCCGAATTGAATATAATTATCTTTAATAACTCTCGCGTATTGGCAAGTACAGAGACCAGGCTTCCGTGTTTTGATAAAAACCTTCACATCGTCTGACAGGAAGGGCGGATGACCTCTGCTACTGACCGAGATATTCCAGAAGCTTAAAGGTGTTCTCAATACTTAAATCTTTCAGATCCAGGGACTTAGCATGTACCAACGAGAAGAAAAGTTAGAGTGCCGCGGGCGCTTCAAACTCGGAGGCTGGGTTTATGCTCCCCCAGAAAATTTTACAATCTTACGTCATTAGTATGGAATTTCTGTCGCTGAGGTGCAGACGTTCCTCCTGATGAAACGTACCTAGCGACGAGGAGCAAGGAGAAACGGCTGTAATCACAGGCTAGGATAATTGAAATTACCGCTGACGGCGGTAAACCTGCATGTATTTAATTATTAATAACACATTTTTTTCCACTCTCGTCGCCAAACTAAGGGAAAACGTACACAAATGTCTTATCTTGTTGCCGTCCATCTTCATGACCGGTGTCCATCCTCCATCTCCGCATCCAAAATTTCCAAAGTGACAGAGAACTGAAAATAGTTTGGAGTCAACGAGGAGAGTGACCAACTGAGTCACGTTCAACCTGTACAAAATGAAATCTCATTTTAATTTTTCCAGCTCCCAATTGTCGGAGAGAGAAAATGGAATGTACTTTAACTGGTTGTAAAAAAAAAAAAGGTTCGCTCTTTCTTACAAAAATAAATGAATGGAATTCAGTACAGTCTCAGTCCAATCTAAATTTCCAAAAGGGATGGAATGGGATACGAAAGAAGTACCTTTTCTGCAAAAATGACAGGCGTAAAAGGTAAGGAGTTGGACCTCGGGGCAGAGCTTCCCCGTATAAAACTTTATTGAGGACCTCCCGAGGGAGTTTACGGTAATTATTATATGACAGTTTGAGACTCGGGACACAGAAAAGTGTTCGTTTTCCATATTAACCAGGTTAACTTATGAGCACTGAAATATCTGAACTTTTTGTGGGTACAAACGAACCATCCGTTTTATACAGGTGTTCGTATTAAGCGAAAGGGAGGCGTTCAACTGCATTTTATCAACAACTTCTTTTGGTGGAGGGCTTTCAGTGCAGGATAGTAGTGTTCATAGTTTATGGTTTTTATTATCTGAACAGTACCAATCATTTGTTTTAAAAATTCAACAGTTTTTACGAGTTTAGGTCTCTAATAACCCTAAGTTTCCAGAGTGGAGAATAGAGGCAGAAATAGAATCCATCAGCCAAGATACAAATTCTAACAATTAATTAAGTGATATCTACATTCTCTGCAACACAAATTGCATAGGTTTACTCACTTTTCTGTGAGCTGATTATAAGCGTCTTGGCATGACTTGGCAACTGAAAAAAAAGAAGTAGATAACGTAATAATTCAATGAGTAAAAAAAAAAAGAAATAAAACCTATTTTTTAAAGAAAATGCAAATTTTGAAACACATGGCTGTCAAAACTCGGTTGCCATGGTAACATCAATGTTGACGTAAACGTCACAACGCCTTAAAAATGTTCCCAGATAAATGTCCTGTCTTGAACGGGGGCCCCGGTCTGAATATCAATTACCTTTTTCACAAAATTCTCCATAAAATCCTTCTTTGCAACGGCAGTCAAACGAGTGATACTTGTAGTTCGCTACACAGGTGCCTCCGTTTTGGCAAGGTGATGACATGCATGGAGTCTGAAATAATTTTAAAAAAGGTCGATGTCAAATGCCATATAATTAAGGTAATTTTTATTGCGTAAAAGTGTTGATTGCAGAAAAAAATGATCGGTGAGAAAGTGACATTCGACTGAATAACCCCGACTTGTTAGGTGCAGTAGTCACTTTTACGTCGATTCGTGTTCGTGACAGGTTATTAAAAATCGCATAGACTGGGATATCAAAAAATATCTCACTTTAATAAACTCTGTGCAAAGATTTTACCCCACCTTGATGGAAAAGTGATGAAAACTCTCGTTCCTTTTATATTCCTCAGGATTGCTGTACTTTTCTGAGGATAACAACTCACACCGCAACTTTCCATCTGCTCCTTTGTAAGCTGCCAGGTTGAAGGACAAACAGGAAGGATTGCCAAGGCATTCAAAGGTGCAGTCAAGGCTGTCATACACTGTGAATGTTCCAACTTTAGGAACGTTTAAATAATGGTGCTCTTCCTTTATAAAGACATCTTGACGAAGGCTGTGATGATACATGGTGGTGAATTCTGAAGAATCATTAATGAGAAAGAATGGTTTTGAAATTTACCTTTTTAGAATGCATGGGTCGTGCACTAAGATATCTCTTAATTTAGGGAGTTCCTGACTTTAAGAATGACTTTTAAAATTGAACGCGTTATGTGAACTGGAATTCAAACACCTTAGCTGAAAGTAAAGCCTACTAAGAGGTCAGGAGAAGAAAAATTTTAGGGACTGTCACTGACATTTCTCTAACATGCCGGCCGCAATTTTCAGCGATTTTTAAATTAATTAACCAAGCGATACAGAAAAAGAGCCATGTTAGTTAGTGACAAAATACTATCCGCGGGCGTTGTTTTACATGCATATCGTTATAATGAGGAAAACTTGTTTGCCTCCGTCTTCGCTGAACTGGCCTCTTCATAGATGTCCCTCTAACTTATACACAGTAAAAAGGTTATTTCCATGAAATTTCACTCGACTATCAATAAAGCGAAGAAAAACCAACCTTCCAGTTGAGAAAAGACTGCATTGGGTATCGCAGAAAACAACGGAAGGAGCTGGAAGAAGGATAAAGAGAACATCTCAGATTGGTGAAACTGTTCACGGTTGGCAAACTTCGTAAAATCAGTGGATGAACTTGTAACAAACACTGCCAAAAACAGTGTTTTGTAAAGTGATAGCCGTTCTAGAAACCATCAGTTTTGTATGCAATATTAAATGTTTGTTATTCATGACTTTCTTTGTCTAATACGTCGCTTCAATCTGGCAGGGCCAATTAATGACAAGTGTTGAAACCTCAACCAATGCACTTCATACGCCAACGTATTGGTTAGTACGATTAAGGCTCTGGAAAACATAACACATTCTTATAAAAACAAGACAAAAAAAAAAGTCGCCTGGGTATTGGCCCCTTAAAGGAGACGTTACCAAAATAAATAATCTTTTTTTTAGCTCCAGGACTCTTCGGCGTTAGAAAATATCTTTACAGTTTTCTGCATTGCAATTTAATATGGCTGTATATCAAACTTTACTTCTTCCTTACAAGGGAATATTAATTAAATTGCCTTTGAGACGTTACCAAAATTGATGATTTTTTTAGCTCCAAGACTCTTTGGCGTTAGAAAATATCTTTACAGTTTTCTGCACTGCAATTTGATATGGCTTGATATCAAACTACTTCTTCTTTAATAAGTTTACATTAATTAACATGTCTCGAGCGTCAACTTACAAGTTTATTTTCCTTTAGTTAACTGTTGACATACAACACTGAAAAGAGCATAAAACTGAGACGGGCTTAACAAATTATTTTTAGGATGATTTGGGGTGGAGGGAAAGTTATATTTTCAGAAAAGACAATGTTTAGCCTTTTCATAAATGTCTTATTCTACCATCAATGACGTCACCGGTCTGAATAAAAGCGCCAATCAGCAGCTATTGCAAAATCGTTTTCTGTGCGTCCAAAAATCTAATTACAACTTACTATTACTTTTCTTTCAAACAGAATTTACATCGAATCCTCTATATTCCTTTAGCTTTGAAAAAATTTCTTGAAAATGTTATGTTATGTTATGTTATGTTATGTTACGCTAGGGAGTGCTTAATGGGTTTTTCGACCGATATGGTTAAATTTTAATTATGCTTTATTACTTTTTATAAACCACTATCTTTTTGACGACTTGCCAAGTAAGAAGAATATACTGTTCAATAAGTCTTTAGAGACTACGTGGGTTTTTTCGATCATTAACACTGTTATGTTTAGTTTAAAGTCTTGAATATTTAAGTATGTTCTCGGCATCAATAAAAAGGGAACCTTTCTATGAAAACTTGCCAAATAAGGAAAATCAACTGAGTGTCCTATAAACAGTGCCAAAAATAGTGTTTTGTAAAGTGATAGCCGTTCTAAAAAACCATCAGTTTTTTTATACAGTATGAAATGTTTGTTATTTATGACTTTCTTTGTCTGTTATGTCGCTTGGCAGGACCAATTAATGGCAAGTCTTGAAACCTCAAGCAATGCACTGTATACGCCAACGTATTGGTTACTACGATTAACAATCTGTGGGGCAAACTTCGTAAAATCGGTGGATGAACTTGACAAACACTGCCAAAAGCAGTGTCTCACTGTAAAGTGATAGCCGTTCTAAAAACCTTCAGTTTTTTAAACAATATTAAATGTTTGTGTTTATGACTTTCTTTGTATGGTACCTTGCTTCAGTATGGCAGGGCCAATTAATGACAAGTCTTGAAACCTCAACTAATGCACTTTATACGCCAACGTATTGGTTACTACGATTAAGGCTCTGGAAAAAAATAACACATTCTTATAAAAACAAGACAAAAAAAAAGGTCGCCTGGGTATTGGCCCCTTAAAGGAGACGTTACCAAAATAAATAATCTTTTTTTTAGCTCCAAGACTCTTTGGCGTTAGAAAATATCTTTACAGTTTTCTGCATTGCAATTTAATATGGCTGTATATCAAACTTTACTTCTTCGTTACAAGGGAATATTAATTAAATTGCCTTGAGGGTCAACTTACAGGTGTATTTCTCTAACTGTGAACATACAACATAAAAAGAATGAAACTAATAAGAACTTAACAAACTTGTTAGGGTGATTCGGGGTAGAAGGAAGGTTGTATTTTCAGAAAAGACTTCATGTTAGTCCATTATAAATGCCTTATTCTCCGGTCTTAATAAAAGCGCCAATCAGCAGCCATCAACAAAATCGCTTTCTGTGTGTCCAAAAATCTAATTACAACCATTGCTTATCTTTTCAAAGAGAATTTTCATGGAATCGTCTGTATTCGTTTTGAAAAGCAAAAAAATGATAGGTCCCCTTTAGCTTTACTTAAAAGTTCTTGAAAATGTTATTTCAATGCTCGGGAGTGCTTAATGGATTTTTCGGCCAATATAGTTAAAATATATATAATGCTTTAATTATTAGTCTTTAAAAACAGTAGCTTTCTGACGACTTGCCAAATAAGAAGAATATGACTGTTCAATAAGGTTTTAGAGACTACGTGGGTTTTTTCGATGTTTAGCACTGTTAAGTTATGTCTAGTTTATACAGTCTTAAATATTTATTTAAGTATGTCTTTTGCATCAATAAAAAGGGAACCCCCCAAATAAGGAAAAAAAGCTGTCTATTAATTAAAACTAAATAAAGCTTTTGGGACTTCGATGCGATTGAGCCCTTCAGAATTGAATGAAACGCAAGACCAAATTCTTATCGGGATTTTCTTAAACGTGGTTATTGTGTACAATGTAGTTATGTCCATCTGACTGTTAGCAAACTCAGTATTAACGCATTAGTAAAAGGAATCACCTGCTGTGGAATCTGGCGGTCCGTAGCAAGAACCCAACTTTAATTGCCTCACCACCTAAAACAATGGGACGGATGGTTCGGGTTAGTTCAAATTTCAAACTTAAGTTTGTTAGCAAACGTTCTAAAAATGATTCAAAGAAAAATGTTGGTGAGTTTTTTGAGACCTGAAAATAGCGCTGTGTTCAAATCGAGGTTTTTTTTCCACAGATTTTCTTAGTTATATGTGGTTTCAATGAAAAAATTACTTTTTTAGGTTATGAGCACTTTCTTTCAAGTAAGTTGAATCAAGAAATGTCCGTTTTTGCAATATCAGTCCTACCCATCATGGTTTAAGTCATCTGCCGGTGAGTTGTTTGTTTTTTTTAGGTACCAGCTGGCGAAACAACTAAAAGCTTGCCTAGTAAGGGAGGGGTTGAGTGGTTACTTGTGTAGGTGAATCAGAGAAACTCCCTTTTAGTTCCTATTTCAAGAAAAGGAATCATTGACAACAAACAATGCTCTTAATTCAACGGTTTTATTCACAGTCGCTGAGGTACAATTTGCCTGTCAATGCGGTGAGGAGGGAAGATGGAATGCTGTATTCGCGGGCAAAAATACAAAGAAACAGTAATGCGTGACAAAAATTGAGTATAAGCACTTCACTGATGACCACATAGTGTTCATCAACCATAGCAATAGTTTAAAAAAACCCGCACATTTGCCTTACATCAAGTAGGCGATTATTTGCTCGGGGGATTTATTGAGGAGGGAGGGGGGCGTCTGCATGCCAAGTCATTATTTCATTTTTTTTTCATTTCATTTTATTCGTTTCTTTAAACCTAAGCAAAAGATAAAACAAAATTAGATTTACATGTACGGTGAAAAAGCAAGTGACAAATAAAATTTACAAACAAAGAAAACGCACAAGACAAAATTACAGCACTTCAATTAAATCACATTGAAGATAGGAAAGAGAGGAGAGCGGCACGTCAAGAAAAACTAACATTGTGCCCCTTAGAGTTACGTACAACAAAAACCTTGTAGTTCTTAATAACAAAGTAAAGGAAAAATGTAAAATAGCTCAGTGAATTGTTAAAGAGATGATGTTTCATTAGTATTGAGCAAGGTAACAGCTAAAACTGCTTTTCTAAAAAACTTTTTAGATGGTTATAAATGTCTCTGATTAATTGCGGAATGCTATTTCAAAAGAATCTTCCAATAACGCTGGGGCAGAATCTCCTGAGATTAGTTCGAAATGGGGGTATGACTATTTGATTAGATGATGTACTTCGGGTATTGTAATTATGTAGCTCAGATACTACTGAAACAGGTATATTAAGAAACTTTTCCTGGTGGAAATAATTATAAAAAAGCACACAATGTGTTTAGCTTTACAATATCAAGAAATTTCAAAAGGCTCAGGGATTCCGTTAGTATGGAGTTATTGATTCCATTAAAAAAAAAACCTCATTTATAATACGAACCGCTTCGTTTTGTAATTTTACGATTTGAAACAGCAGTGGAGCATAAAAAAATTATTTCCCCGTAGTGTACAAGCATAAGTAAGGTAATGATATATAAGAGAATACAGTGAAAACCCGCTTATAAGAACTTAGAATTTTCGAGGTCAGGCTGAACAGGTTCTTATGTTTTTGGGTAGTTTTTCACAATTCAGGCGATAAGGTTCTTAATAGATATTTTTAATTTGCAGAGGTTGTCGTAGTGTAACCATTGGCAGAAATATATAGACATTTTAGATTTTAAATCGTCTATATTGCACCGTAGCTTTACGGAAAACGTCTTTCTCGTGAAAATCTAAACAAATGTACATAGTCAAGGAAAACATAATTATACACAATATTAAACTGTTTGTCAGAAGTTTCCCACTATTAAAATCCAGAATTCTTTGACCATCAAAATTGGAACCCCAGTGATTTTTTGTATAAGAACCAACAGTTTCTTTAATTGCCAGGCTGGACAGGTTCTTGTAGTTTTGACTATTTGAATGCCAAATTTCAGCCCGTAGGTTCTTAAATTAACAGGTTCTTATATGCGGGTTTTTACAGTAATATTGAACTGATAAGTAATGCTTTTTGAGACATAATGCTTTAACTTAACCATTATATTTATATTTTTTGAGACATTATTACTGACAGGAAAACATTAAAAAGGAGAATCCCGGGAAATAATGAAGACCAAATAAAGCTATAGTTTTAATTATGTCTCCAGTGAAGGAGCTCAGGCTCGTTTCCCAAACAGCGACTGACAATCAAGCCACAGTTTGAACCCAAGAGTCATTTGTGCATGATTGTCCGCCGGGTGATAGTAGTCCCGTTGTTGACAATGACTGACGTTTCGACAATTTGTGTGGAATTCATCTTCAGAGTCATCTTCAGAATTTATCAAAAACAGCAAGTGCCCCTCCCCAGCAATTGCTCCCCTGAAGCATGCTCCGGGAGCAAAATCCCTCGTGTGTATGACGGCTTTTACACATCAAACATCGGTCTTCAAAGATTGTCTGCGGGCAGCAACCGTTAGCAACCGCAAAGTGTCCCGGCCAATTTTTTCCTCACCCGGCATCCCCTCTGGATCACAATTTAAGAAAGATGATCCCCGTCTAAAAACTTTTTCAACCCAGTTAGGGACTAATTTATGCCAATATTAATGCGTCCATTTCAGACCCCTGAAATTAAATATTTACAGAAGCCTGTGATAGGCTCGACCTGATATTTACACGTTAACACTGACCCGCGTTTCTAAATACCAGCACAGGACGTTTTTTATTTTATCTTTTTTATTATAATTATTACTTTGGATTTTGTAAGCTCTCCAAGGTCACTCATTTAAAAGAGCTTGACAAACAGACCACGGAGGAAAGCTAATACTCGCATCACCAACTTCGTCCTCTTAAATGCTGATCGAAGTAAAACAACAATAATGAAAAAGAAAACAAGTAAAAACTGAAAACTCACCTCCAATCTCAAAATAAGACAGTTTTGTTAGCGGGTAGAGCAACAGCGAGACTGGATTACAGTAGCTATAATAACTTTTAATCTTAGTTTCTCAGTGTGTCTTTTACTTCTTATGTATAATGGTTAACTTTAATTCAGTCTAGACGTAGTCTGAGTTATCCACAAAAAACGAAGAGAGAAGAAGAGTTTCGTTAAGCTACACTTTCGTTTGGCGCCAAAAGTAAATTAGCCCCGAAGATCAGGTTCTTTTTACTGCACCAAAATATATCCCATTGCCTTGATATGCTTCTGGCCATTATCTGGCCGCAACACACTAGCCTCGTTTCCGCATGTGTTGTTATTATCATGATATCCTCCAGTACCAAACCCAATTCTAGAGTCACAGGTTCTGCAATCGCGGTAGTTGTCACCAACGATACCGATCCTGGCTTTGGAAGCACGAGAATCTTTACAAACAGCATTGAAACCTTCCTTGTTACCACTGGTCTGCAAGGAGGCCTCAGAACCAATCAGTGACTTCCACGTGTCAAGACCCAGTGTGGTTCTGCGGTACCTCCCATCAGCGATCAGAGAGTACAAGGAGTTCGCTTGCTTGTTGATAACAATAAACTTGATCTGCTGGCCGATCTTCATACCAAGGCAGATCTTGGAGAAGGATGTGTTCCAGTAGGACGGAAGTTTGGTCTCCTGTGCGTCAAACCCAGTCTTCCCTCCCTCAAGGTTAAACGTTTCTTTGTTGCTCCAAAAGGCGTCATGGTAGTGAAACGTTTGCTGTGGTAGAAAGGAGGAAAAAATAGAAAAATTGTCCTTTAAAAAGAAAAGTTCAAAGGTTTCTTTTTTCTGCTAAGGACTACATCCTTCCCGGAAAAGAAAAAAAACAACACAATTTGCAATGGAAGATCAATTACAATGAAAAGAATATCTACAACGTCCTTGTTTCTCCAGTTTTATGAAACTAGTGAAATTAGCCACAGCAGGCGAAATGGCGTTAATGGTCACCGATAGAATAAAAAGTAAACATAATCCGCAATCATTAGTTGGTGATTGATGCGATTGAAAAATGCCGAATTGAATATAATTATCTTTAACTCTCGCGTATCTGCAAGTACAGAGACCAAACTTCCGTGATTAGATGAAAACCTCCACATCGTCTGACAGAAAGGTTAGGTGACCTCTGCTACTGACCGAGATATTCCAGCAGAAGCTTAAAGGTGTTCTTAATACTTAAATCTTTCAGATCCAGTGACTTAGCATGTAGACGCACGAGAAGAATAGTTAGAGCGCCGAAGGCGCTTCAAACTTGGAGGCTGGGGTTATGCTGCCCCAGAAAATTTTGCAATTTGACGTCATTAGTATGGAATTTCTGTCGCTGAGGTGCGGAACGTACCTAGCGACGAGGAGCAAGGAGAAACGGCTGTATCCCCAAGCTAGCCTAAGGATAATTTAAAATTACCGCTGACAGAGGTAAACCTGTATTTAATTATTAATAACACATTTTTTTCCACTCTCGTCGCCAAACTAAGGGAAAACGTACACAAATGTCTTACCTTGTTGCCGTCCATCTTCATGACCGGTGTCCATCCTCCATCTCCGCATCCAAAATTTCCAAAGTGACAGAGAACTGAAAATAGTTTGGAGTCAAGGAGGAGAGTGACCAACTGACTCACGTTCAACCTGTACAAAATGAAATCTCATTTTAATTTTTCCAGCTTCCAACTGTCGGAGAGAAAAAAATGGAATGTACTGTAAAGAAAGGTTCGCCTTTTCTTATAAAAATAAATGAATGGAATTCAGTACAGTCTCGGCCAAATCTAAATTTCTCAGGTTCCCCATTATGTTAGTACTACACGATTAATGTATTTTGGACTAATCACCTGCAGCACAGGTTGATAATTATATATTTTTGCTTTATCTTACCCGCAAGCTGTGCTGATCTTCAACTAACTTTAATGAAGTTTATTTGAATAAAGTGTTCTGTATGAATTAAATTCGGACATCGAAGATGGCTGAACAGCGTAGCAGATGTTCAGAAGAAAAGGGAAAGGGGCGACTGAAAAACCACGAAAATGGTGCGCATGATGTTTTTCCCATCTGACGTCAAAGGACCCCTATTTTACCCGCGAGCTACCTGCAAGACTTGGATTGGTTGTTTTTGACAACTACTCAGAACATGTTACACAGATATTCAGTAGTCTTTTATGTTTATTGATGCTTATGGTCTGAGCTCATTTTAAAAGGCTTGTAACAAGCCACTCCACCCCTTAACCGCTAAAAGGAATGGAATGGTATACGAAAGGAGTACCTTTTCTGTCAAACATGGTATGTGGAAAGGTAAGGACTTGGACCTCGTGGCAGGGCTTCCCCGTAAAAATTTGTTGAGTACCCCCTGGGGATAAAATGCCTCCAACAAGCAACTCGAACCCTCAACCATTAGAGATGAATGAAATGGCATACGAAAGGAGTACCTTTTCTGCAAATTGTTAGCTGAGCTTCCCTGTATAAACTTTATTGAGGACCTCCCGGGAGAGTTACGGATAATTAATATATGACAGTTTGTGATTTGGGACACAGAAAAGTGTTCGTTTTCCATATTAACCAGGTTTACCTATGAGCACTGAAATATCTGAACTTTTTGTCGGTACAAACGAACCATTCGTTTTATACAGATGTTCGTCAAGCGAAATGGAGGGGTTCCACTCAGGGGCGGATCCAGGATTTTTTTTAGGAGGGGGTGCACTCGTCTCTTGCTCTACTTCAACACCAATAAACCACATAGTGTTTTTTTTTGCAGAATACCAGTTGTATTTGAAAACCTCAGGTCATCTCAGGGGGGGGGGGGATGCGCACCCCCTGCACCCTCCCCCTAGATCCACCCCTGCCATTGCAATTCATCAAGAACTTTTTTTTGCTGGAGGGCCTCCAGGGCAGGATGGTGGTGTTCACAGATTATGGTTTTACTATCTGAACAGTACCAATCATTTTTTTTAAAAATTCAACAGTTTTTACGCTTTAGGTCTCTTATAACCATAAGTTTCCAGAATGGAGAACAAAGACTAGTAATGAAATAGAGTCCATCAGCCACGATACAAATTCTAACAATTAAGTGACATCGACATTCTCTGCGACACAAATTGTATTTCCATTTTTGAGGCTTGACGAGTGATTTTTTGACTGTTTTTGTGGCTCATAAACAAAGTACTGACGTACCCCGAATGATCGCCCGCACTTTAACTGATCTATCCTCATCAATTAAATTACTATGCATAGGATCACTCACTCTTCCGTGAGCTGATTATAAACGTCTTGGCATGACTTGGCAACTGAAAAAAAGGAAGTAGATAACGTAATAATTCAATCAGTAATAAAGAAATCAAAAACCTATTTTTTTAGAGAAAAAGCAGATTTTACAAAACGTGGCTGTCAAAACTTGGTTGCTATGGTAACATCATCTGACATGGTGATGACATACATGGAGTCTAAAATAATTTTAAAAAAGGTCGATGTCAAATGCCATATAATTAAGGTAATTTTGTTTTGCGTAAAAGTGTTGATTGCAGAAAAAAAGGAGAAAGTGACATTCGACTGAATAACCCCGACTTGTTATCGTGCACTAGTCACTTTTACGTCGATTAGTGTTCGTGAGAGGTTATTAAAAATCGCATAGACTGGGATATCAAAAAATATCTTACTGTAATAAACTCTATGCAAAGATTTTACCCCACCTTGATGGAAAAGAGATGAAAATTCTCGTTCCTTTTATATTCCTCAGGATTGCTGTACTTTTCTGAGGATAACAACTCACACCGCAACTTTCCATCTGCTCCTTTGTAAGCTGCCAGGTTGAAGGACAAACAGGAAGGATTGCCGAGGCATTCAAAGGTGCAGTCAAGGCTGTCATACACCGTGAATGTTCCAACTTTCGGAACGTTTAAATAATGGTACTCTTCCTTTATAAAAATATCTTGACGAAGGCTGTGATGATACATGGTTATGAATTCTGAAGAATCATTAATCAAAGAAAGAATGGTTTTTAAATTTATCTTTTTAAAATGCATGGGTCGTGCATATAAGATATCTCTTGATTTAGGGAGTTCCTGACTTTAACTGGAATGGCTTTAAAAATTGAACGCGTTATGTGAACTGAAATTCAAAAACCTTAGCTGAAATTAAAGCCTTGAAGTCAGGAGAAGAAAAATGGGAATTATCATCTTCATGAAATTAGAGATTTTCCTGGCGGTCAACTACTGTCATTCATTTGACTTCTAATGTCATGCCATAAAACTGGGACCATTATTATGATCGGCCATTTGTTTCAAAATTATGACACGATATACGTGTGGTTTTTTCCCACGTATACTTGCAATCATTCCTGCTACACGATATACGTGCGTTTTTTCGTCACGTATGCTTGCGTTTTATTCCCAAGTATATGACCATTTTCTTACAAACGCTCATAGATATGCGAACAAAAAAACCCATATATATGTGTTACAAACAAGCAAGTGGTATATGCGGTCGAAGAAAGTCGTCGTATAAGAGGCACCAAATTATACCGTCAGCAAAAAACCGCTTCATGTTCGATGGTGCTGAAAAGTAACGTCAGTTTGAATCAAGCATGGCCGCAATGGCCGCGTTGGTGATTTCGAGCAAGATTTGGTTCTTTGTCATTGCCCTCACAGTAGTGGTGGTTTTTGGCTCCCCGACAACGGAATCCGTGGATTGTCTCTTGAGAGACTGTGTATGCTGTTTCACAAATGCTGACCGAAACAACGATCGATTCAGTTAGAAATTAGCATCTGACAGGCAAAACAAGACTCATGAGCTCTTGATAATGTGAAGCATGACCTTGAGACCTTTCTTCTTTTCTCTTTCTCTCGCGAATTATCACCTTTCGCCTCCACGAACACGTTTTAAGCCTCCTAGTCTCGAAGCTTTTTATTATTTCCCTGGTATTCTCACTAACTTTAATAGCCTTCCACCTGCCTCTCTTTCCTTAGTGCTCCTCCACTTTAATTGTGATTTTCATGGTTAACTAACTCGTTCTGGTTCAACTTGCATAAAATGTCAAAATATATGGGTTTTTTTGTTCGCATATATATGCGCGTTTGTAAGAAAATGGTCATATCCTTGGGAATAAAACGCAAGTATACGTGACAAAAAACCCCACGTATATCGTGTAGCAGGAATGATTGCAAGTATACGTGGGAAAAAACCACACGTATATCGTGTCATAATTTTGAAACAAATGGCCGACCATACATTATGGCTCTTGGTCCTTAAGAATTAAACTCCAGGAAAATTTACAGGGTACATCAGCGTTTAACAAATTGACCTAAACAAAATAAAGTATCGCGATAAAAACTCAACTTTATAAACGCGATAGAGTTTAAAACAACGCAAAACTAGTATTCGTTTTTGTCCTAGTTGTTTAAGCTTCCTCCCCAGCAAAATTTTAGGGACTGTCATGCATTTCTCTAACATGCCGGCCGCAATTTTCAGCGATTTTAAAGTAATTAACCAAGCGAAACAGAAAAAGAGCCATGTTAGTTAGTGACAAAATACTATCCGCGGGCGTTGTTTTACACGCATATCAAAATAATGAGGAAAGCTTGTTTGCCTCCATCTTCCCTGAACTGTCCTCTTCATAGATTTCCCTCTAACTTATACACAGTAAAAAGGTTATTTCCATGAAATTTCACTCGACTATCAATAAAGCGAAGAAAAACCAACCTTCCAGTTGAGCAAAGACTGCATTGGGTATCGCAGAAAACAACGGAAGGAGCTGGAAGAAGGATAAAGA